GTAGGCTACTCTATTTGTAAGCAGAGGGTCTAGAACATTTCTAGTTACTAAAAATAGAGAACAGCATATCTTAAGAACAAGAGGAGATACAGGCTTCGTAAGCACACCATTCTAATCCTCTCTTCTTGGAGATTACAATAGCAATGCTTAGGTAAGCATAGCGCTATACCTAAGAGGGAAATACGCTAGAGAAAGATTATAAGAACAAAGTCTTATAACTTTACACGCCTTTGAGGGCGGTATTCCACGTAGACTCTCTTTAAGTATACGCTGTATAATCGCCTCCTCTTCTAGCTTTGTAAGGCGCTTTAATTTTAGCTTGCAGTCGCGTTAAGGGTGTTGTCTAGCGCGTTAGTCTTAGATTGTTGTTTATGGGATGTTATAGACTGCTGCAGCGCGTCTTTTGCTCTGTATCTGCTTAGACTTAATATCAGAGATAGCAATAAATATATCTCCTTCAGTATAGGTCTTTTGCATGTTGCGTTGTTGTGGCATTACGCGTTGTTGCTGCGCAGGCGGGGCGCGGGTGTTTAGTGGGCGACTCAGTTGGGTGGGCGACTCGCTTGTGAACCACGTTAAGGATAAATTAGACAATTATCTGCTCTTTAGTTGCAGTAAGCTTCTAGCATTTTGCGCGTACGTTAAGTTAAAATAGAGTATTGTTGGCGCGTTTAGAGAGCCTGCGCTGGTTAACGTTAAACGCAGCAGTAGCAGCCTGATGGCTCTAAAACTATCTAGTATTATAGGCCTAGAGAGCAAGCTGCAGTCTCCCTTTGTGTTAAAGCAATAAGTTGTAATATTGTTAAGACATACTGTGAAGTGCGGAGTTGTGTTAGTCTTGGCAGATTTTGACTAGTTTAGTGATATGACTAGCTTGGTGATAGAGTACGTTATATCAGCCCTTAATATAAAGCTCAGCACTCTATCACTATAACTCCCTATTAATAAAGCCCCCTAGCAATTGCAAACCCCTAGCAACACCCTAGAACTTAGGTTGCAATTAACACTTATAAAGACAAGGATTTAGAGTCATGTAGGCAGTTTGCCTATATCTATAGTAAAGGCGTTTGGTAAGGTGTCAAAGGGGGCTGCAATAATTGCGCACAAGCTAGTTGTAACAGAGTAGGCACCCTGCCCTCGAGATCAATACTACGTGACTTCTCTGCCTGTGCCAAAAGGTAAGCACAAGAATACTTAAGCAAGTATTCAATGCGTAGTATAATAAATATAGACAATAATAGTGCTAGCCAGCTAGCTTTGCCTCTAGCTGCTATGAGCGCTATGCCACGTGTCGTATTCGTGCATAGTCGTTACACTAGTGTTAGCGCAACAGGAGATTGCTGAGCTTCAGGCAGCTAATAGGGCTGCTGTACGCTAGAAATCACTTAAAAGAAAGCAGCTTTAGAAGGAAGGGACTATAGTAGTTAAAGAGGGCGAGCAGTTAACAGCTCTAGAGGAGTTTACGGCGCGTGGTGATGGGAAGAGAGCGAAAAGGCAGGTGCAGGCTAAGGTGGGTGAGCCCTCCTGAAGACGCTGTGGATGGTGCAGTAAGGCTGGGCATTAGGCTGGCGGATGGATAAGGTAGGCTTTTTTTTCTTCCTCTATCTCCTTAACTGGTAGAGATACGCTTATGTAATGTATACTTCGATAGATGCGTCTAGTATTGCGCTTTCTATTAAAAAAATAATTACCTAATTTGGCCTACTATTAACTAAGTTATTATGCCTACCCAGCAAAAGTCTACCTAGGATAGGTATGCTCGCTAGGTACCCCCCCTTTTTTTACTGTCTTTTAGATTTAGCAGCTGTAATATAAGAGCCACAAGGAAAATCTGTATAAGGAATATAAACTACATGTAGTTTTCTTTAGAACAAGCCCTTAACAGCCTAAATTAGCCTAGTATTAGCTAAGTTAGGGGGGGGTACCCAAACAGGACTTTAGAACATACCCATCCGCCAGCTTACTGGGCATAACGCGCAAACGTGTAAAGATAAGGTAGAAGAGGTCTCTAAATAATATTACAGCTTGATTTGCCTTATACAGCGCTAGAGTGTGGTGTTATAGGCCATAACAGGGTAGGTTTTGGTGTAGTCTTGGCAAAAGTGGTCCGCTCGCTATGGTGGTCGACTCGCCATGCATGTACGTTAGCAACACCGCTACCTAAACAGGAAGGAGAGTCTGACTCGTCAACACTGCAGGGATGTAAGCTAATCCAAGCCTTCCCACTCATCCGACGAAGCTCTGCCAGGAACAAGGTGGTACTTTGGAGTGGAGCGATGTGGGTGACTATGATCTTGGCAGTTCGGTATGCTGACAACTCAGGAAGGTTGCTGAATTCTACCTTATTAATCGTACCAGGGTATCACCGCAGCTGTACAGATACGAGGACGGCAGATCAAGGCTACCTTCCGGCGCTAAGGAACGGCACGTAAATGTGGCAAGTTATCTCAGCCTTGCTAAAATCCCATATGCTGACCTCAATCCGTCAGTGCTTTGAATGCGCAGTGACGCACCTGATTTGATGAAGGGGATGAATAGCCATGCGCTGCTACTTGAAACGTTGAGGTTTTAGCAACGTGCCTCTTTTGTTGCCAAGTCACAGAGAACTATCGGTTATTTGGTCCGCTTTTTACGTAGCATCACCCGACTAGCTATGCAGCTCCAGCTTCTTTGGTAGTCTCCCCTCTTTTTTCACTCCGAGACTCAAGGCTTAGCTATGTAGCTCTCAGCCACTCAATCATGGGCTGAAGAATAGCAGACTTCTCATCCTGGGCGGGGGTCGATCTGGGTCAGTAATTGTCGTCAGCATGTGCAGATAGTTCTTCGACTACAGCCCCCTGTGCAGGAGACGAGGGGTCGGGCTATGGCAAAGCAAACTCTGTATCGTATCTGCGCCCTGGAGCTAGATGCTCTTCGCCCAGGCGTTATTTATCACTGGAGACGCGGGCGTGCCACCTGCGCCAAGCAAAAGCTTGGTGCACCCTCATTGTCGCTATGACCCCAATTACGTCACGCTCATCATTTTATCCCTTGGCGCCTGACGATACAAGAAGCATGCCTGTCCAGCGATATGGTACATCGGCGAGATGGGAAGAAAGGTGAGTGAGATCCCTTTTAAATAAGCTAGGTGTGTCTAAGTGATGAGCGGTTGATTTGCTTGGTGTGGTAATCTCCACCTGCGCATCGCCTCCATGGAAAGACTCACGGCTTCTTTAGGCGAGGCTTCAGCATGCGTTCCTTCCATGGAGGTCATCCGCAGCTTGCGCAACAACAGATGCGTTCTCGAACGCATACCCTGGTCCACTAGGATTATGGGTGTCGAATCTCCCGAGAATCATCCTACAGTCATCATGTGTAGCACTCACGGTTTGCTGCAGCGGCAGTACAGCTTGTGGATAGCGCCCTATGGGATGATGCTGATCTATCAAGGAACGACCATCAACACCCCGGCACTGTCCAGCGGTTGAGTATCCTATGCCTCGGTCAGATTGACCGTTGCACTCCTACAAACCAGTTGCGCGCTGGTTATGCGCATGGTACGAAGTATTCGCTGGATGCTGTAATTATCGCCCAGCCTTATTTCGCCCTTATCTCGAGTTGTAGCCAAGCAATTTAATTGACCTGCAGGACTTCACACTCAATGAAGAAGGTGCTGTACCGATCAGGTGCCTTTAAGCTTAAGCTTAGCTGCCTAGGATCAGAACCCCGTGTAAACCTTGACGTGTCCTGCAGACGGTGGATTGCCATACTTGACGGAACTACACTTAGCAGCTGACCACTTATCGCTCTCAAAGTTCTCCTCGCCGACAAGAGAGCAGATTTTCTCTGTACAAAATTCTCATTCGATGTTGATTGGTCCAATACTCGAAATATGCACATGACCGGATGAGGAGAGGAGATAGGGCATACATCCTAGATTTTACAATACACCAGGCACACTTGTCACTAGCTTACAGGTACGAAATCTAGATAGTATGGAACGCTACATGGGAGTTCTAGTATATCGGCAATCTACACTTTATATGTGTCGCCACATTGTTCGAGAAGCATGCAGGCGGGTCCTTTGGCCGAATGTAAGCCTTTACTTACAGTGTGTATGATGCGGAATGTCCGAAGTTTGATCCGAATGTCGTACTATGATTCGCGGTAATGTCTGATAGCTAGGCGCTGTGGACTATAAGCGGATCCTTCCGCTCCAAGAACTGGTGGCATGCGTAAGCTTGGTCTCTGGCATCTCTCCTTCAAGCCACCACTCTGCTAACACTCGATGAAGGAATCAAACCACGATGACGACGGTGGAACCAAGAGTTGAACACTTGCTGCAGGTATCTAAAGCCTTGACGGAGACCACCATCTACAATTAGAAACCAAGCTTTTCTTCGGAAGACGACTCAATCTGTCACATTCTCCCGCTCTTATCGAAACTTATACAACGGCGGTTACTCCTTACAGGTCTTTTGACCCATTAGCCAAGCATATCAACTAGACGGTTCCCTACGTGGAGCATCTACCCCCGCCAACGGTCTTGTTTACATACCGAATTCAGTAAGTGTCATTAATATAAGCTACTTGTTGCCAAGAATATTACTCCACGTCTTCCACACTCCTCCAATCTCCGACATCTCCGTGACCGCTGCAGTGGGTCCCTGTCTCGGCTGAGATATAGTCTTAGCAGCAAGCAGTAGCGAATTTACCAGCATTACATGGTCTCCTCAGCCTCGACCAGTCAAGTCACCACATTGACCCACTTTTCCGCAGGAGGCATCTATCTGAAAACTCTCTGGCTCCAAGGCTAATCCTCAGTGGCAGGTACAACTGCACTAGTCCGCGGTGATCCACTTTGAGAGCCGTCGGCATCTATATAAGAAGTTAAAGTCGCATCCCCAAAGTCTACAAGCAGCACTACAGCTTTTAGCCCTTCAGAATCAGGTCCTATCTCTTGCCTTGACACTTTCGCTCAGTTCAGCAACCAGAACCATGCAGCTTACTCTCCTCCTGTCGCTTTTGCCAGCTTTGGCTGCTGCTCTCCCAGCTCCTGTTCTTGAGCCTCGCGCCGGTACTCCCATTCCCGGAAAGTACATCGTCAAGCTTCAGAACCAGAACCTTCAGACCATCCTCGAGGCTGCCCTGAAGGTTCTCAAGAAGGACCCTGCCCACGTCTACCAGTTCGGCAACTTCGGTGGTTTCGCCGCTGAACTTAGCGACGACATCGTCAAGGTCCTCCAGAACCTTCCTGGCGTCGACTACATCGAGCAGGACGCCGTCATCAAGGCCAACCTTGGTGAGATCGAGGATACCATCGAGAAGAAGGCGTACACTACCCAGTCATCTGCTACCTGGGGTCTCGGCCGCATCTCCCATGCCAGCGCGGGAACTACTTCCTACACTTACGACACCACTGCTGGAGCCGACACCTGTGTGTACGTCATTGACACTGGTATTTACACCGCTCACCCCGAGTTCGAGGGTCGTGCTACGTTCCTCGCCAACTATGCTGGCGACGGTTCCAACACTGATGGTAACGGCCATGGCACTCATTGCGCTGGTACCGTTGGATCCAAGACCTACGGTGTAGCCAAGAAGACTAAGCTCTTTGCCGTTAAGGTCCTTGACGCCTCCGGCTCGGTATTTCTCACCGCGATCTCCACCTATACCAGTGGCTGCTTTACTAACTTTTGAACAGGGTACGAACTCTGGCGTTATTGCCGGTATCAACTACGTCGCCAACGATTCCAAGACCCGCTCTGGCTGCTCCGCCGGTGTTGTCGGCAGTATGTCTCTCGGTGGCTCCAAGTCCACTGCAGTCAATTCCGCTGTTGCCAACGCTGTTACTGCCGGTGTTTTCATGGCCGTTGCTGCCGGCAACGATTACCAAAATGCCGCCAACTACTCTCCTGCGTCTGAGGCTACTGCATTCACTGTTGCTGCCTCTGACAGTTCTGACAAGTTTGCTTCTTTCTCCAACTACGGCTCCATTGTCGACATTATCGCCCCCGGTGTCTCTATTCTATCGACCTGGTTGAACGGTGGTACCAACACCATCTCTGGTACTTCCATGGCTACTCCACACGTTGCCGGTCTCGCCGCCTATCTCCTTGGTTTCGAGGGCAAGAAAACCCCTGCCGTTCTTGGTGCCCGCATCCAGACTCTTGCTACCAAGAACAAGATCACCAGTCTTCCTTCCGGAACAGTCAACTACCTGGCCTTCAACGGGAACCCCAGCGGTTAGATTGTCTTGGAACGACATTATCTTAGTAAACGTAGACGTTTCTCATACCATGCATGCATGGAGAGTTTTGCTTGTTGTTGGGCGAGAGATAGCATGTTATTGCCCCTCCGCAATCCTTGTGAAGGATATTGAATCAGCTTTGGATGTGGACTTCACCTCTTTTCAGTAGTTTTTATGAGTAGGCAATGGAATCTTGGTGATTGAAACATGTCCACCCAATCGACTTATCCAAATCTCGAAATCTGCCCATTAGGCGATAGCTTATGGTTCGAATTTTTCCATACACAAAAGTGAATTAGCAAATCTCTCGGCAATAGCCAGGCACGCTTGGGAAATGCGGAACCCAAAAGCTCCTTAAGGCAGAGGTGAAGTACCGTGTCGGTACCGTGTCCGCGCACCGAACGCCCGAAGTCACCGAACGCCCGCTCCAAGCCTGTACGGCCATCACAATATTGAGGCTGTAGAGTCGCATACAATAGCTATTATTACAAGATATTTTAGTAGATTTATCTATAGACCTAAGCAATAAAGTTCCTAATTCAAAGTTGCTAATGTTTAGCTAGGTAGGCTCAATAACTTAGTTAACAGCTGGCCAAATTAGGTAATTATTTTTTTAATAGAAATATACATTACATAAGCGTATCTCTACTATTTAAGGAGCTAGAAGCAAAAACAAAAAAAAGCGTACCCTACCTATGCGCCAGCCTACCTACACCTCAGTGCGCAGGCTTCTGTTTAACTACAGAAGCTTTTAAAGCTAACGTACTCTATCAGCGAGCTAGTTATATCACCGAACCGGTCCGAAACTCTTAGCGCGCCCAACTTATGTTGTGGCAACTTAAATTACTTGCTATTTGTAAAGTTATAGGACTTTGTTCTTATAATCTTTCTCTAGCGTATTTCCTTCTAAGATATAGCGCTATGCTTACCTAAGCATTGTCATCATAATCTCCTAAAAGAGAGGATTAGAATAGTTTGCTTACAAAGCCTGTATCTCCTCTCCTTCTTAAGATAAGCTGTTCTCTATTTTTAGTAACTAGAAATGTTCTAGATCCTCTGCTTACAAATAGAGTAGCCTACTTTGTAGATGCTGATGTATACAAATATACATGCACCTACGTAATCTTGCTTGCATATGCAGCAATACTAAGCATAGAATACTAAGTAGACCTACCTAGAGGAGTCTAGAACGTTCTGCTTAGAAATACAGACAGAGGAGAGGAAGCATAAATACCTATAGCTCTCCCCCATCTGTTCACTCTGTACCTAGCCTAGGAATCTCTACCTAGTATCTAATATAATAACTTGTCTATTATATTACATAACCCTACCTTACCTTTATTAGACTATACGCTTCCTATTTAGACAAAGCTAGTCTAGATTTGTCTAGGTCCTTCTAGACTAGGAAGAAAGTAGTCTAGTCCTTCCCCTACTTTCTTTACACTATTAAACAGTAATCTAGCGTATTGTGTACTCGCATTAGTGTCAGATAAGAGCGGGCGGCAAGAGGTCGGATCTGCGCAATCGAGCAGGGACCTGTCGTGCAGCCAATCAGCAGTTGCCAGGTCGATTAAGCGAGACCTGGCAACTCCTGATTGGCCCGCACACCGGCGGCCGCGAACAGCGCTAATTCCCCCCCCACTTCAATCATGTAGCAACCAGCACGACGCTGACGGCAACACGATCGCCACGATCATCAATATATCATTATACCACCTAAGATCTCATTAAGCACATACTCTCGCTCACAGTACAAGCATCTGACAATTAAGAGTCTCACTGCCGCAACCTCACTGCCGCAACTGAAATGGCGCAACCAACGTACCGCGACCCAACGACAGTCCTTAGGGACCAAGCCGACTAGACTGGCTGGCTCGCGCAGCTACAGGCGAGATGCCTGTCGCGCAACATCTAGGACAAGATTAACCTAAAGACAACTACACTACTACTATTAAAGCCACTCTTACTAAGGGCTCTAACTATTACTAACTACATGCTAGCTACAAACACTAATATCCTATTAAGGCTAACTTAGCTATTAATAATAGGCTAGAAGGTATTTAAGGAAGACCTTAAGTACTATAAAGTACTCCTTAAATAATATAAGAATTATTAATATAAATATAAGAAGGAGGAAGTAAGCCTTTAGTATATTATTATATTTATTTAGTTAACTATATTATTATATCTACTATGCATATACTGTCTTCCTAAGAAACTACTATAATAGTAGATTATAGACCTACAACTTACTATTAGGGTTAATAAATAAATTAAATAAGAATAAGCCTAAGATAGATACCTCTTAGCACTTAAGCTAATAAGAAGCACATTATAATAGGATACCTAGCTAGCTAAGTATAACTAGGCAGCTACAGAAGCAGAGACGCACAAAGTTACTAAATTATTATAATTAAATATAATAACAAAGGACTTCCTAATAGCTATAAACAGGGTTACACCTATCTAGGCTACAAGCTTTTAAGATAGTAGACACTTTAAATCTAGTATAAGTTAGAAGGAGATAATAAAACACTACTAAGAGTATATAATAATAAATTATCCCCTTAGATTAGGGCAGTATAAGGTATTTATAGTTAATAATATAATATTTCTTACTAAAGGGGGTGCAGCCTCCTAGAGCTATAAAGGGGACGCCTAATATGCTGTAAGCATGCTATCTAACTAGGGTAGACCTTAATATTAATATATAGTAGGTAGGAAAACTACTATACTTAAGCAGCCTTTAGATTAAGAGCCTACTTCTACTAGGGGAGCAAAATACCCTATATGTAGATAATATTACTCTATACAGGATTACTACTATATTAATTAAGATAGAGCTCCTAAGTAGTAGAAACTAAATAAGATTATTTCTAAACTTATTAAGTTTAAGTATAAGAAAGATATTACCTTTTAAGGGCTACTTTACACATAAAGTAAGAGCTAATTAAGAATACTAGTAGTAAAGCACTTACACACCCCTACCCTAGAAATCCTAGATAATTAACTAGAAGGCTAAGAAATTACTAATATTAAAGTAGTACTTAGCGTAGTAAACTAACAGGACACTGCTAAGTATCTACTATAGAAGTTATTTATACTTAACTTAGGTTCTACCTGTTATATTACTAATAACCCTAACTATATCTATATATTCTAACAGCTATTGCCTAGAGACTTTATATAGGCTAGGAATTCTAAGGTGCTAGTTAGAGGATATAGATTAATTAATCTACTCCTAAGGAGTAGAGCTAGGACAACTAA